CGGCGGCGGCGGCGCCAGCGGCCCCGCCGGCGACGCCACGGCGGCCTCCCAAAACTGTGGTGGGCGAGGGCAGGGGGGCGCGGCACGGGAGGGGGGGGGGAGGGAGGGAGGAAAGGGAGCAAAGGGAGGGGATGAAGGGAGGGAGGGGATGGAGGGACGGGGGCCAGGCCCGACCTGCACTACAATCGGACTGCGGCCAGAACATACGCGAAAGGAGAGACGAAGCCGATTCTTAACACCCCAAGCTACGACGAGGGCTAGAGCGACAACCATGGAATGACCTGAAGAACAGTGAGCGCTTTCCGAAACCAGGGCGATCCCTGATGTTAGCGTCTTTTCTGTAGCGGGCGCGGTGGAGCGCAACTCCAACGCCCAGGTGATCTGTCGGGCTGTTCCCTGGGGGCCCCTGTCCGAGACGCGAGGGAGGGCGGCAGAGAGAGGGGGGGGAAGGAGGGGGCAGAGAAACGTGTCTTCGCCGATGGGGTAAGCGATCTCAAGGCTTCCACGAATGCAAGACTGAGAACCTCCGAGAAGCCCGAGACGGGGAGTCGAGAAGGAGGAGAGGGGAGCAGCAGAGGAGCAGAAGAATGGAGAAGGGAGGGAGGAGGAAAGGGGAGGGAGAGAAGGACAGGGAAGGAAGCAGGACGACCAGGAGGAGGGGGAGGGGGCGGAGCAAAAGCGGAACGATGGGGACGCTTTGCGCTGTCCTCCTCCTCATCCTCATCGTCCTCTTGTTCACCACCATGTTCCAATAGAACCCGCTCCTCCTCGCACCACCAAACGTGCTGGCAAGCCGAGCTGGACGTGTTCCCCGAACCTTCCTCACCGCGTATGATCCTGATGCTTGCGAATTTCTCCACGGGCAAGGATACTCAGCGCCGCGCTCACCAAGCCTACAAGCTTCCAACAGCTACAAGGATGGAGGCCAGCTCGTTTTCAAAATGTGCCGATCCCCCTAGCGCCGAACGCATTCGTACTGATTCATTCCAACATACGCTATAACGAATGAGGGTGATTAATTTGCCACACCACTGCAGCTGTCGCACTGGGTGTCCTCGCCTAAGGAATACAATATTTGCTTAACTGCACCGACATTACAAGGAAAGACGTCGGCTCCCTGTCAGAATTAGGCTCCCGCTTGCGACCCCCTCAAAGACAACTAGCTACACGGATAGAGGGCGGCTCCTTTTCAGAGCGGGGCTCTCGTTGGACACGTCCTTGCACTCGAGCCTCCCTGCACCCGAAAAGATGCAGGCAGTCCCTGCTCAAAACAATGCACTCGCCCGAATGGCAGGCCTATGGGGCGCTTGTCCTTCAAGGGGAATTTTCCCTAGTGCGCAACGAACATGAATAACTGCAGAGGGACTTATGAAGGTGGGATCCGGGATGGAGGGGTGTCCTGGAGCATCATCGATGTATAAAAAGGGTTGTCCTGGTCCTCTTCCTCGTCTTCCTGGACACGCGACTCCTCCTTCTCCTCCTCCTACTCCACATCCGCCTCCTCCTTCTCCACCTCATCATCATCAGCATCATCATCGCCATCACCATCATCACCGTCACCACCCACACGCCCGCGAACGTGGAGAGAGCAATCCTGAAGCAAACTGCGGATATCGTTAAACTCGCCTTCCAAACGACTGACCGTCATCTGGAGACAAAATGCCGCCACACAGCGCATCAACAAACACGAGATGTCAGGCGAGATCCGATGATGTACGTGTCCGTCTGGTGGATGCCCTCGCCGCCTCTTCTGTGCCTCAGAAGACACCCCTGTGTCGGCAAGGGTGGGTAGGTCGGCCGACAAGTTGCCCCTCCCACTACCCTCAAAACGTAGCGAACGATCAAACCACCACATCGGACAACTGTCGGGGCCTGCTAAGACCAGGTGGGCGAGGCCGTGGCCTCCTGTGAACATACAGACATGCATAGGAACTGCGAGACATACAAAAATATGAATCTGCGCAACACACAAAAAGTTATGACGGAGGAGGAGAGGACGAGGGAGTCCTGGCTGTGAATGTCGGCGAAGTGTTGATGTATTTGTGCTCGAGTATCGACCACGTGGTGGTGTCTTGAGCTGGGCGAACCCAGTGAGGTCGTTCGGTTTCCCCTGCTCATTTGTTGGTGTGGGCGCTGGGTGCAGGTCGGGTCGGTGTTATTGAAGGAAGCTGGCGAGGTCGTCGTCCCAACGCTTGCGCTGGCCGCCGTGGTGACTCCGGCCACGTTGCTGTGAGTTCTCTCCTGGTTGCCAATGCATTGCACGCCACGTCCATATGGTGGGCTCGTGGTTGGCTACCTTGGATACCATGCGCCACGACCTCTGTCTGTGAATCGTCTCCCATGATTCGATGTGGTGGTGCTGCATGAGCTGTTCTGCGCGCCGCTTTGCTCGCTGGGTGTAGTCGACCCACGGCTTCATCGCGTCCTCGTCATTGTTTTTGTCGTTGCTCTCGCTGTGTCGGTCGGTCGTGCCTTGTTGGGACGCGTTGCTCTCTGCGTCGTCGCTGCTGCTGGATTCTTGGTCAGGTGCTTGAGTGGTCGTGCGGTCGTCCGCGTGTCCCTGGGTGCTACTCGTCGGGGTTGTTTGGTGGGTAGCGCGTCACCTTGGTGCCCTGATGATCATGCGGAGCATGCGTCGTTGTGTTCGCCGCAGGTGTTGCCGGAAAGGTTCCGTGAGCGTCCATGTCTCTGCTCCGTAGAATGCTGCGGGTGTTACGGTCCGGCTGAAAAGCCGGATTCGGTGAGCCAGTGGGTATTGCTTGCTTGTCAGCTCCGTGAACGTTGCCCATGCTGCCCTCGTACGGTGGTGGATTTAAGTCCCCATCGCGTCGTGGAAGCTGATGAGTTGACCTAAGTACTTGATGCTGCCATCGTGGGGAAGGATGTCGATGTCCATGTCCTGAATGTGTACTGTGCGCGAGCTTGCCCTGTCAGTCCGTCTGGTCTGGTTGCTGAGTATTTTGGTTCTGGAAGGGTGCAACTCAAGTCCGTGAGGCCGCACTGCGCGCACGATGTCGTCAAAACGGAAACTGTTGCGGAGAACACGCGGCCATGTGGCGCGTCACCACCAGCGCGCTCCCGAACGTGAAAATCGGAACCCTGAGAAACACTGCGGATAGTATTATATTCGCCCCTCCCTACGACCCACACTCATCTGGAGCCCGGGTGCCACCTCGCAGGGTCTCACGAAACACGAGATGTCAGGCGAGATCATAAGGGGGCCACATGCAAACCCCACCCTTACCCCCCAGGAGTTCTGAGGGGGAGGGTGGGGTTCGCTTCGCTCGGGGGCTGGCGCTGCACTCTGGCAGCCACGTCCGAACGACTACCCTCAAGTCGGGCCTGTCCCCCTACAGGAGGAACATTCAAAAATGGTGACAAAAAATTGTCTGGGGACTACTTTTTGAACATTTGTTTGACCATTTGGGGCATTTTTTGACTATGTTCTATATCTCGTCCAAAATCCCCCTGCAGGGGGGCACACCCGACCTGCGACTACCCCCCGAATGACTCGCTGGGCCCTCTCCGGGGAGGCTCCAACAGCGGCCACCAGACCGAGGAGCCACCGGCTGGCTGGGCCCGCCCTCCTGCAGAGCAACCGCCGCAGGGCGCTACCGCGGGACCTTGCTCCAGAGCTCGTCCTCCTCCTCCTCCTCCTCCTCCTCCTCCTCCTCCTCCTCCTCCTCCTCCTCCTCCTCCTCCTCCTCTCCTCCTCCTCCTCCTTCTCCCCCTCCTCCCTTTCCTCCTCCTCCTCCTCCTCCTCCTCCTCCTCCTCCTCCACCTCCTCCTCCTCCCCCCTCCTCTCCTCCTCCTCCTCCTCCTCCTCCTCCTCCTCCTCCTCCTCCTCCCCTCCTCCTCCTCCTCCTCCTCCTCCTCCTCCTCCTCCTCCTCCTCCTCCTCCTCCTCCTCCTCCTCCTCCTCCTCCTCCTCCTCCTCCTCCTCCTCCTCCTCCTCGGCCTTCACCTCGAGGGGTCTCCGCGCCTTGACCTCGCCGCGCAGTTTCTCCGCGACAGCCGACACGCGTGGCGGGGCGATCCAATCTAGCTTGGCCACGGCCACGTCGATGCGGAGGTGCGGCGCGAAGTCGTTGAACGGCCGGTTTGCGATGGCATCAGCCTCCTCGTTCCAGCCACGCGGCACCCATCGGAGGCATAACTCCAGGTCGCGCTGCTGGAGCTGAGCAGCTAGCTCAGCACGGGCGATGAAAAACGGGAACTTCCCCGCCATCAGGCGCGTTGCCCAAATTGTCGGCGACGCCGGACAACGCCATGGCACCTTTCGCCGAGGCTGACCAGGCCCCCCGAAGACGGCGACGCAGACGAGCGCCGCGAAAAGTTCGAAGGCAACGATGGAGCGGAACGGGCCCCCCCCACCCCCCACCCCCCTTGGCAGAGGCCCGCGGCGCCGACTGCCTGGCGAAGGCGGATGAAAGCCATCGGGCTTTTCCAGGCTCCGCGCCGCCCAGACACTCCCAGCCGCCGACGGCCACAGCCTGGCCTTCTGTTTTGGCGTCTGCACGGAAGGCTGGGCCCAAGTCCATGACCACCAGCTTACTGGCGATTGTACCGCCGTCACAGCTGAACTGGTCCCAAAGGCAAGCAAACCAGAAGCACGCCGACTGCGGCAGCGCTGCGACCCCCGGGCGTGAGGGCGCTAGCCCAGGCGCACAGGGGAGCCACAAGATCTCGCGTGCTCCAGCGGGCCCATCGCGAAATGCAGGCGGGCGAGGACTGCGACGAAGTCAGCCACAACAACCCTGCTCTTCCCCATCCCGTCCGCGAGCCACCCAACGATCCAGGACGCCCTCCTCTCCGAAACGCCGAGCCTGAGCCCTCGGAAGCCAAGCCATCTTCCAATCCAACTGATTTCCGCGCCGCGCCCCGGATTTCTTCAACACAGATGGAAATCCATGCGCAGTCAGAAGGAACATCACGAAACCCGCAGTCTCAACCTGGCGGCGGGCGCGGGCAATGCGCGGGAAGTCGTCGACACAAACGAGAACTCGAGGAGGAGATCACCCATTCTCAAGACGAAGGGTGTGCCGAAATAGGGCAGGCCGCCATGCGGACGCAACCGCTGGGGCCTTCAGTGGGGGTCCCGATGGGGCCACGGAACTCGTCAAAGGTGTGCCGACAGAGGGCAGGTCACCACGCGGACGCAGCCGCTGGAGCCTTCGGTGGAGCTCCAATCTGGCGCCACGAATCGCGTGAAGGGTTTGCCGACATGGGGCGGATCACCATGCGGACGCAAGCGCCGGGGCCTTCGGTGGAGCTCCCCACGGAGCCACGAAGCGTGCAAAGGATGCGCCGCAGCGTGGCGGGTCACCATGCGGACGCAGCCACTGGGGCCTTCGGGGGGGTCTCACATATGGGGCCGTGAAACGTGTGAGGGGCGCGCCGACATGAGGCGGGCCACCAGGCGGGCACACCCGCTGGAGCCTTCGGTGGAGTTCCTGTTGGGAGACTGATGTTTCCAAGCACGGCCTGCACCAACAGATTGCCCGAATGATAACGGAGAAATGCGTGCAAAGAGAAAGAAGAGGAATACAATGAGGAAGAAGGGGAAGGAAAGGGGAAGAAGGAGAGAGGAGGACAAAGACGACGACCACGACGACGATGACGAGCCAAAGATGACGACAACGACGACGACGACGACGACGACGACGACGACGACGACGACGACAACGAGCCACGGACGACGACAACACAACGATGACGACGTCCACGAAGAGCCGACGACGACGATGAGTCACTGATGACGACACCGACGACGAGACGACGACGACGACGACGCAGCGACAGCGACGGCGGCAACGAGCCGACGACGACAACGAGGCACGTGTGACGGCAACGGCGACGGCCAGGTCGGCGGCGGCGGCGGTCGCGACGGCCACGGCGGCGGCGACGGCGGCGCCCGCCTCGGCCTTGCGGTGCTGGGGCGTCGTGGCGGGCGTCCCGACGCCCGCGGCCGGCGTGCCGACCACCTGCGCCCCCCCGTCCCAGGGGTCGGCTGCCGCAGGGAGCACGACAGGTTCCTCTGATGGGCTCGTTTTCCACCACCACCACCACCACCACCCTAAGTTGGAGGGGGAGGGGGTCCTCCTCCTCCTCCTCCTCCTCTCTCCTCCTCCTCCTCCTCCTCCTCCTCCTCTCCTCCTCCTCCTCCTCCTCCTCCTCCCCCTCCCCCTCTCCCCTCCTCCTCCTCCTCCTCCTCCTCCTCCTCCTCCTCCTCCTTCCTCCTCTTCCTCCTCCTCCTCCTCCTCCTCCTCCTCCTCTCTCCTCCTCCTCCTCCTCCTCCTCCTCCTCTCTCCTCCTCCTCCTCCTCCTCCTCCCTCCTCCTCCCTCCTCCCTCCTCCCTCCTCCCTCCTCCCTCCTCCTCCTCCCTCCTCCCTCCTCCCTCCTCCCTCCTCCCTCCTCCCTCCTCCTCTCCTCCTCCTCCCTCCTCCCTCCTCCCTCCTCCTCCTCCTCCTCCTCGTCGCCCTCCTCCTGCTTCCCCCCTCCAACTTATGGTGGTGGTGGTGGTGGCACCCTCGGGTGCGCCGCGGTGCGGGTGCGCTGCCGTGCGGTGCAGGTGCAGCGCTGCGCGGTGCAAGAGCCGACCGGAAGGACACCACGTCAAGCGAGGATGGGCCCCGGAAGGCTGGGTGGTCGGCGCCGCAGCGCTTGAAGTCTCGAACAGAATACAGCCTGAAGGTCGTGCAACGCGCATTGGCGTCGTTTGCAGTATCTCTCCACTTGTTGGGCGAAAAGTCAATACCTGTACCACTCGAGAAATCAAAACTGTCATGAATTCATTTCTTTCTTAGTCTGTGCGCCGGCCTGGGTACGGCGCCCCGCGGAAGAGTAGGGAGGGGGAGGAAGTTTGACGATGGCCAGTGTCGAGGAACAACGTTTTTGACGCTCCTGGCCCCTTTCTGGGGATCTCTGGGGGCCTCCAGAGGCCTCTGGCCGAGAATCTGAGGCCCAGGATGAGGACGGCGGCGGCAGCGGCGGCGACGACGGCGGCGTGAACGGCGAGCGTCAACGGCGGCGAATACAGCCATCCTGCAAGTAACGCTGGGCAAGGAATAAAAAGGCTTTTCGGGCCTCGGGGAGCCTCGGCCACGCCTAGGTTCCCCGACAAGGATCTGAGGAACGGCCCGAAAATCACTGCGGGCGTGGCGACTCACGCCTAGAGCGTGCGGAACGCCCACGCCCCCAGCCCCGGCCGGGTGCGGAGGGAGAGGAGGCGGAAGAGGGCCAGGATGAGGAGGAGCAGGAAAGGGCGGAGAGGGAGGGAGAGGAGGAGGAGGAGGCGGAGGAAGAGCAAGAGAGGGCGGAGAGAGAGGGGACGGAGGAGGAGGACCAGAGCAAGCCCAAGAAGCATCAACGATGCTGCAGTAACGCCTACCCGTCCCGAGCCCCCTCTACAAAGCCTCTACAATACAAAACTTCCCCTCTCGCTGCGGAAAAATGCCCCTTGAAAGACGAACGCCCTATGATCCCGCAACGGCGAGAGCAACACTTTGACAAGGAGCTGCCAGCCATGCTTCTAACTCCTAGCTGTACGGACGACGACATAAAAGGATGACAAGTTCAAGGGACTGTCAAGCGAGAGCCCCGATTTGCGCAGGAATGGCCATAAATCCATAGTGAGAAGCCCCCCGACTTGAAAACGAGCCGCCCTCCGTCCGTGTAGCTGTTGCACAGCTTTAGGTGCCTGATCCCTCTTTCCAACGCAGCGTAAATCTCCGACGAAAGAGTGATGTTGATATAAAGTCGCCCACCATCAATGTAACTGCTGGATGTTTTAATTGAATGTGTGCGGCGCCACGGCAAGAACCGCATTTTGAAAACGGTTCACCCTCCTTCCGTGCCAAATGAAAAATATAAGACGAACGTGCGCGACGCTAAGGCGAGAGTCGGACTTTGGAACGGAAACGCCCTCCATATTGTCTAACTGCTGGAACGGTTTACGACAGATGTGCACGGCGGTCAGGCGGAACCCACCCTTTGAAGAAGACTCCTCCCCTCCACCCGAGTAAGTGCAGGGCGCCTTCAACATGAATGTACGCGGCGTTGGAGCGAGAGCCACTTGTTGAGAACGCCCCCGCACCCCCGCAATCCGCGCAGCTCTTGAGCACGTTGAAGATGGATGTGCACGGTGGTTAGGGGAGAGCCTCACTTAGCAAGCCACCCCACACTCCGTCCATTCGAGTGAATGCTGGAAGCCTTTAACAAGAACGTGCACAACGCCACGATGATATGCATACTTCGAACGCCACCCCCTCAAGTCGCGAACCTGTGACAAGCTTTGACAATGGATGTGCGCGGCGGCAAGGCGAGAACAGCATTTTGAAAACGATCCCCCCTCCATCTGCATAACTGGTTTTACCATGGAAGCACTGATAGCCTCCCAAAACGCACCGTACCGAAAAATTATCCCGGCAAAGCAACCTAACAGCGATGTGTAGGAGCATATCTGGAAGCATTTCCCTTAAAATTCGGATGAGAATCCAGTTGTAGAATTCTGCTGTTCTCGCAGTCGTAGTCGCATTCGCGATGACAGTCGCAGTGGCAACGGCAGTCGCAGTCACAGCCTCAGCCTCAGCCTGCCTCAGCCTCAGCCTCAGCCTGCCTCAGCCTCAGCCTGCCTCAGCCTCAGCCTCAGCCTGCTTCAGCCTCAGCCTCAGTCTGCCTTCAGCCTCGGCCTCAGCCTCAGCCTGCCTCAGCCTCAGCCTGCATCAGCCTCAGCCTCAGCCTCAGCCTGCCTCAGCCTCAGCCTGCCTCAGCCTCAGCCTCAGCCTGCCTCAGCCTCAGCCTGCTTCAGCCTCAGCCTCAGTCTGCTTTCGCCTCAGCCTCAGGCTTCGGCTCTCAGCTCAGCCTCCTCAGCCTGCTTCAGCCTCAGCCTCAGCCCAGCCTGCCTCAACATCAGCCTGCCTCAGCCTCAGCCTCAGCCGCAGCCTGCAGCCTCAGCCTCCGCCTGCTTCAGCCGCAGCTCAGTCTTCTGCCTGATCGGCCTCGGCCAGCCTCGCCTGCATCAGCCTCAGCGGCCCAGCCTCAGCCTCAGCCTGCCCAGCCTCAGGCTCAGCCTGCTTCAGCCTCAGCCTCAGTCTGCCTTCAGCTCGCCTCAGCCTCAGCCTGCCTCAGCCTCAGCCTGCATCCGCCTCAGCCTCCTCAGCCTGCCTCAGCCTCAGCCTGCATCAGCCTCAGCCTCAGCCTGCCTCAGCCTCAGCCTCAGCCTGCTTCAGCCTCAGCCTCAGTCTGCCTACAGCCTCGGCCTCAGCCTCCGCCTGCCTCAGCATCAGCCTGCATCAGCCTCAGCCTCAGCCTCAGCCTGCCTCAGCATCAGCCTACCTCAGCCTCAGCCTCAGCCTCAGCCTGCCTCAGCCTCAGCCTCAGCCTGCTTCAGCCTCAGCCTCAGTCTGCCTGCAGCCTCGGCCTCGGCCTCAGCCTGCCTCAGCCTCAGCCTGCCTCAGCCACAGCCTCAGCCAGCCTCAGCCTCAGCCTCAGCCAGGCTCCGCATCACCAGCCTCAGCCTGCCTCTGCTCTGCCTCAGCATGCTTCAGCAAAGCTCGTCTGACTTCAGCCCTCGGCTTCAGCCTCAGCCTGCCTCAGCTCAGCCTGCATCAGCCTCAGCCTCAGCCTCAAGCCTGCCTCGCATCAGCCAGCCTCAGCCTAGCCTCAGCCTGCTAGCCTCAGCCTCAGCCTGCTTCAGCCTCAGCCTCAGTCTGCCTTCAGCCTCGGCCTCGCCTCAGCCTGCCTCAGCCTCAGCCTTGCATCAGCCTGCCCCTCGCCTCAGCCTCAGCCTCAGCCTCAGCCTGCCTCAGCATCAGCCTGCCTCAGCCTCAGCCTCAGCCTGCCTCAGCCTCAGCCTCAGCCTCAGCCTCAGCCTGCTTCAGCCAAAGCCTCAGTCTGCCTTGAGCCTTGGCCTCAGCCTCAGCCTCAGCCTGCCTCAGCCTCAGCCTGCAGCCTCAGCCTCAGCCTCAGCCTGCCTCAGCCCTGCCAGCCTCAGCCTGCCTCAGCCTCAGCCTCAGCCTGCAGCCTCAGCCTCAGCCTTCAGCCTCGGCCTCAGCCTTAGCCTGCCTCAGCCTCAGCCTCATCAGCCTCAGCCTCAGCCTCAGCCTCAGCCTCAGCCTCAGCCTCAGCCTGCCTCAGCATTCAAAATGTGGCCCGGAATGGAGTTCTGGGAACTCGAAGAACACGAAGTGGCCTACAGTTGGCTCCGGGCATTCAAAATCATGCCCAGGAATGGAGTTCTGGGAACTCGAAGACCACGAAGTGGCCTACAGCTGGCTCCGGGCATTCACAATGTGGCCCCGGAATGGAGTTCTGCGAACTCGAAGAGCACGAAGTAGCCTACAGCTGGCTCCGGGCATCCAAAATGTGGCCCCGGAATGGAGTTCTGCGAACTCGAAGAGCACGAAGTGGCCTACAGTTGGCTCCGGGCATCCAAAATGTGGCCCGGGAATGGAGTCCTGGGAAGTCGAAGAACACGAAGTGGCCTACAGTTGGCTCTGGGCATTCAAAATGTGGCCCGGGAGTGGAGTTCTGGGAGGTCGAAGAGCACGAAGTGTGTGACTGTTTGGTTAAAACGAGCCCGATTCTCGCGTGTCCGGCTCCCGCCCAGACCCTCCTGGGGAGTCATCAGATGCTCCCTTTTGGCCCCATTAGAAACCTATCAGTCTTCGCTGTTAGGTAAAAACACTGAGGTGGGCTGCAGATTCCCGCGCCCATCCTGCACGTACCAATGGCTCTGGTGCAGCGACAGAAGCACACAGCCACGCGGTGGACAGCAGCAGCAAAAAGCAGAAAGAGAAGGGCCGGCAGCAGGGAAGAGGGAAGGGAGCAGCAGCAGGGAACCGGAGGCAAGGAACCGCCGGCAAGTGCAGGACGCGAGTGAAAAAATATAAGGAAGCACGGATCGTCTGCCCCGCAGGAGACCACGACAGCTGGTGCCGACAGAATGCACCACCGGATCGCCTGCATAGGAAAGATACTCAGTCCATTGGGCTGCTCATCGTCGGGGAGGGCGTGTGTCGGGGAGGGCGTCGGGGAAGGGGGCGGGTAGGGCGTCGTGAAGGGCGTCGGGCAGGGCGTCGGGTAGGGCGTGAGACATGGCCACCGCTCTGAGACCCACAATCAATCTGCGACGGCGGAAGGCGAAGAAGACGGAGAGGAGGTAGTAGTAGTAGTAGTAGTAGTAGTAGTAGTAGTAGTAGTAGTAGTAGTAGTCGTAGTAGTCGTCGTCGTCGTCGTCGTCGTCGTCGTCGTCGTCGTCGTCGTCGTCGTCGTAGTAGTAGTAGTAGTAGTAGTAGTAGTAGTTGTTAGTAGTAGTTAGTAGTAGTTGTATAGTGTAGTAGTAGTGTAGTATGTTAGTAGTAGTAGTAGTAGTAGTAGTAGTAGTAGTTAGTAGTAGTAGTTGTAGTGAGTTAGTAGTAGTAGTGAGTAGTCGTCAGTGGTCGTTAGTTAGTAGTCGTAGTAGTTAGTAGTTAAGTATATAGTAGTTGTAGTAGTCGTAGTAGTAGTAGTAGTAGTAGTAGTAGTAGTGTAGTAGTAGTAGTAGTAGTAGTAGTAGTAGTGGTGTAGTAGTGTCAGTATTGGGTAGTAGTAGTAGTAGTAGTAGTAGTAGTAGTAGTTAGTTAGTAGTTGTAGTAGTGATGTTGTAGTAGTAGTAAGTAGTTAGTAGTAGTAGTAGTAGTGGAAGTAGTAGTTAGTAGTTGTTGTAGTAGTAGTAGTAGTAGTGGTGGTGGTGGTGGTGGTGGTGGTGGTGGGTGGTTGGTTAGTAGTAGTAGTAGTCGCAGTAGTAGTAGTAGGAAGTTAGTAGTAGAAATAGCAGCAGCAGCATCAGCAGCAGCAAGTAGAAGTAAATAGTAGTTCGTAGTTGTAGTAGTACTGTAGTAGTAGTAGTAGTAGTAGTAGTAGTAGTAGTAGTAGTAGTAGTAGTAGTAGTAGTAGTAGTAGTAGTAGTAGTAGTAGTAGTAGTAGTAGTAGTAGTAGTAGTAGTAGTAGTAGTAGTAGTAGTAGTAGTAGTAGTAGTAGTAGTAGTAGTAGTAGTAGTAGTAGTAGTAGTAGTAGTAGTAGTAGTAGTAGTAGTAGTAGTAGTAGTAGTAGTAGTAGTAGTAGTAGTAGTAGTAGTAGTAGTAGTAGTAGTAGTAGTAGTCGTAGTAGTCGTAGTAGTCGTAGTAGTAGTAGTAGTAGTAGTAGTACTACTACTACTACTACTAGTAGTAGTAGTAGTAGAAGAAGAAGAAAAACAAAAAGAAGAACACGGTGCCCTGCGCAATGAAACTTCTGGGTCTTAGAAATAGAAAACAGTCTGAGGCGAAACGCCCGGTCCGGCCACTGGAACGCCCGGTGGCCAGACTAGGAGTCATCTGGAAAGAAAACTGATGGAGGGGGAGGAAAGGGACGTTGGATGAGCAGCTGAAGAGAGGAGGAGGGGGATCACTTACAGAGCGGGAGTACCGCCATTAAAGAATCTTCCAGGGATGAAGGATCTGTCTACGGGGAAAGACCATTCGCGTAAGGAAACCCAGTTCGCAGTAGTATGCGGGGTATGATAGCGAGAGCAGCCCATGTCTATCAGTCCCTCCTCTCTCCCAAACTCAGGAGTGGCGTCCCAGAGTGGGTCAGATCCCCTTCAAGGGGTGGGGATGCATGGAGAGGTTCTCAGCAACACCCGCAACGGGTCTGAGGAACCGCATGCGTACCTTCCGCCCGAGGCCTTCGGTGGGGCCTTCGATGGGCCACGAAGTGCGCGACGAGTGTCCCGCAATGGGCTGTGGAGCCGCATGCGTGCCCGGCACCCTGGGGCATTAGTTGGAGCCTTATAAAGGGGGCACGAAGTGCAAGAGTTGTTTCCACCGCGGCGCATCGAAGCCAAAGATGGTTAATGACTCCTCTGGGCCGCATGCGATAAATTCCCGAGCCAAGGGCACTGTCCCCAACTGGCGCTGCGTCGGGAAAACTGGATGGTCCACTAACGTGGAAGCCAGCCGTCAGGCGGATCGGAAGATACCGTGCGATTGAAACAGAAAGGGGGAGGAGGAGAGAGAGAGAGAGAGGGCCAAACAAGCGTCTAGCCCCTTCCTATGCTGGCGTGCGCACAGCGCCATGGACTACTCCACCGCCTCGCACAAGTGCAGAACGAATTGGTACAGAAACGAACGACAGCAGGAGGGACCGTGCAAACAGAGGCACAGAGAGGACAAGAAGAACGGGCAGAGGAGAAGCCAAGAGGAGCGAGGAGCGGAAATCAGAGCAGCTACCCTGTAAAAGTACAGCGTCGGTCGAATTAAGACGCGAAGGAACTGGACGACAATTGCTCACCAGAGATGCAGCACCATTAGAGGAAAAAGACCTATGCACATACACCGATTCTGGCCAGGCCCACCCTGAGCCCAGGATCGGTGCATACGCCCTCCTACCTTGGCCAGGAAGGCATATGCACCGATCCTGGGTCAAGGATGGGCCTTGCCAGGATCGGTGCATGTGCATAGTTCTCCTCGCCCAAACCATGAAAGCTGAACTAGGCGGGCACGGCATGGCCGCAACGAGACACGCCGGCGACGGCGGCAACACGGGCCAGAAGCAGCCCCCTGCGGGAGCGGCTCGCAAAACGGGGCGGCCAGCGGCCCACCAGCAGCATCCTGCATACACGGGGCGCCCCATGCGACAATTGAAGAGGCGAAGGAAGAAAAAGAGCAGCAAGGGGGAAAGAGGGATGATGAAGACTACGGATCACCTCCGCACTGCTGGCCTCACTCGAGCTGCTCCAGCCGACGTGCTTCTCATATATTAGTCGCGCAGCTCGCAACCCAACGCTCCCCGTATCTGGATGCCACAGTTGTGCTGCGGCCCGGCTTCCCACTGCGATGCCTTCCGTCGCGCAGCTCGTCGCCGCAGCGCTGATCACCAGCGCGGTGCTCGCAAGAATGCTGGGGCGCGGCTGCTGCCCAGAGTGCTGCTGTAAGCCGTGCGGGTTGTCGCCATGGCTCTGCTCACGTCCGCGCAGCTCGCAGCACTGCACGTCCCAGTCATGAATGTCAGAACTCTGCTGCTGCACCCCAGTGCACTGCTGGACGAGGTACTGCTCGACGCCGCCATATTACTCACAGACGCGGTGCTAGCCAGAACTGCACGTCCCACTCCAGGGTGTCAGAGTCGCGCTGCTGCTCCCCGGCGTGCAGCTAGGCGCCATGCAGCTTATCGCCGTCGTACTGCTCACAGAGGTGGAGCTACCCACACTGCCCGGCGATCTGGTGCTCCGTGGTGGCGCCCCATACTGTGGTGGTGAAAAGCGGCAAGATGCTCAACTCCGTCGTGGCGGATACAGGGGTAGAGCTCGATTCCAGAGTGCAGGGAAGCGGACATGTGTCTGGTGCTGGCGTTGGCGCTGGAGTCGGTGCCAGTGAAGGCGCCAGCGTTGGTGCTGGCGGAGGCGCCGGCGTTGGTGCTGGTGTAAGGGCTGACGTCGGCGCTGGTGTAGGCGCAAGCGCTGGTGCCTGCGCAGGCGTTGATGCTGGCGTCGGTGCTGGCGTCGGCGCTGGCGTTGGTGCTGTCGTCGGCGCGCACCGTTTAGCTGTTAGCTGGATGGCTCGCCCATGCGCCCTGTTCACCGGAGCGGGGAAGTCGAAGTTGGCGTTGGAACTGGCTCCGGGGTCGGGGCCGGCGTCGGTGCTGACATCGGCGCCGGTGTAGACGCTGGCATTGAAGCTGGCACAGGCGCCGGCGTTCTTGCCGGCGTCAGTGCTGCCGTCGGTGCTTGCGCTGGTGCTGGCGCCGACGCAGTCGCATGCGTTCGTGGGAACTTCGTCGTAGTGGTCGAGGTAGATACATAGCTTCGCAGGTGTCGGATTCAAATGCGCTGCACGATTCGACCAGCATGAATAACTGTCCGAAATTCTGCCCCTCATGCTTTCGACTTCGGGGCCAGATTTGGGGCCTCACTTTTAGCCCGGCCAGTCTTGCTCACCGTGCAGCGGACGGCAGCAAGTTTACTGTGCACTCCTGGCTCCCGCCTAGGGTAGTTGAAAAAGAAGACGTGATGTGATGATGCTGGTGTTGGTGCTGGCTTCGGCGGAGGCGTAGGCGCCAGCGTTTGTGCTGGCGTCGCTGCTGGCGCCAATGCTGGTGCACGCTCCAGCGGCTCCAGCGTAGATGCTGGCGTAGGGGCTGATGTCGGCACAGGTGTAGGTTCTGCTATCGCTGGTGCTGGCATAGGCGCAGGCGTTGGGCTCACCCGTGCGTCGCGGCTCACTGGAGCTAAGAAATCGAAGCTGGTGTTGGCAGTGGCTCTGAAGCCGAGGCTGGGGTGGGTGGGAGCCAGAGCTGGCGTCGGAGGGGGGAAGCGGTCAGACCTGACGTCGGAGCCGTGACAGAGGACGTGGAAGTGCACCATAACGCGGTGCTGGATGGTGGGCGTTCCTGGATCTGGGAGTCGCAGATGCTGCCATCTATCGTGCAGCCGCGCTGCGGGCTGACGTCAGGCTGAAGTCCGTCGTGCTGGACAGCGCCAGGCTACTGGTACCCGTCTGAATGTTAAAGTCGCCAGGGCTGCAATTACCTAGTCGTGGTGACCACCGTCGCACTGCTCGGGCGGGTCTTGCTGCTCGGCGTCGCGCCACTCCTCCTGCCTGGCGGGCTGCTCTGAGTCGGAGCGCTGGAGCCCGTCGTGCTGCTCACCGTCGTGATGCTGGTATCCGCGAGGCCTCGCAGACCTCGATGCTAGAGACGCGTGTGCTGCCATATGTAATGTTGATCGCCGTCGCACTGCTGGAACTGGCGCTGCCCACCTTCGAGCTGCCGATGCCCGACGCGTTGCTGAGCATCGTGCTGTTGCAGCCCGTCGCGCTGCACAATATCGCGATGCTGGTATCCGTCGCCCGCCACACTCCTCGATATTGGAGTCGTGAATGCTGTCCAGCTGCCGCGCTGCGATGCTTTGGAAAAACGACGCCTTCTGAGAACCTGGATGCCGCCACGCACACGCGCATCTCGGATGCGTTGGCACCACATAGCGCCAAGGTAAGTCCAGGTTCACACTGGAGGAATGGCCCCAGGTCCTGCCCAAATAGGCGTCCAGCATCACAACGCGAGCGGTGAGCTGGCCGGTGCGGGAGTCGGTGAGCTGGTCGGCGCGGGAGTCGGCGAGCTGGCCGGCGCGGGAGTCGGTGAGCCGGTCGGTGCGGGAGTCGGTGAGCTGACCGGTGCTGGAGTCGGTGAGATGGTCGGCGCGGAAGTCGGCGAGCTGGTCGGCGCAGGAATCGGTGAGCCACACGGGCTGGGAATAGGCGAGCTGGTCGGCGCTGGAGTCGGCGAGCTGGCCGGCGCGGGAGTCGCTGAGCTGGTCGGTGCGGGAGCCGCCAAGCTGGTCGATGCTGGAGCCAACGACATGGTCGGCGCCGGAATCGGTGGGCTTGTCGGCGCGGGTGTCAGCGAACTGGTCGGCGAGGGAATGGGCGAGCTTGTCGGCGCTGGAGTCGGCGAGCTGGTCGGCGCGGGAGTCGGCGAGTTGGTCGGCATCATGCGGCTGGCATCCAAGATGTTGTTCGGAATTATGGCATTCGTCGACGTGGAGGCTCGCTCAGAGATGTCACGGAATACCCCCTCCCTGTCATGTTGCGGTCGCCGCTGATGGCCCCCATCGTGGTGGTCACAGCGGCGCCGCCGATGGCACTGGGATTGCTGTGCGCGGCGCTGCAGGCCCCAATCGCGGTTCTCGCACCGGTGCTGCTGGCAGCACTGCTGCTGCTCCACGTTGCGCCGCTGGTTGCATCGCGCTGCAGGGCGCAGGTTTGCTGGTCTATGGAGCGTCGTGCTGCAAAAAAGGCGGGGGGGGACACGAAAACTGAGGATGGGAGGTGGTGCGCGGGCAGCAGCGGCTGCGGCAGGGGACGTCGGCAAGAGAGGGCGTAGAAGAGGATGGAGTAGGCGAGCAAGACGTAGCAGAAGATGGCGAAGGAGAACATGATGAGATGGCCGTCATAGAAAAGCCCGAAGATGCAGAGGACATTGCGTCGAAGCACCGCTGAAACCACCGCAACAACAGCTGGCCTGGAGGGCAGCCCTCTCCGGCATCCCGACTGCGCGAGGGTGCCCCGACACCAAGTCCAGGACGGCTTGGTCCAAGGCCTCCCGCGCCATGGTCGGCGTACGCCGGGCGGCGCGTCGCCACCAGGTGTGGACCGCGTGCGCACCAGCCACCCGCAGCGCTCGCAGCGCTCGCAGCGTCAAGTCCGCGCGCGCACGCTGGCGGGGCGGCAGGTTCACGATGAGGCGGTCCGCTCTGGCCGCTGGAGGCGCCGCTGCGCGCAGACCGAATCGTCGTCGTGCGAGGCCCGCCACCTCCCCGTATGTACAGTAATGCTCGATCGAATCCTCGGAGCCAGTGCACCCAAAAAAGCAATGGGCCCAGCGGGCCCACGTCTGGCAGTGATCCACCCGTTCCACAAGGTCCGCAGGACAGCTGCCCGAACGCGTGGCGGGACCAGCGGGGACAGCACCTGGAGCATGGCCTCCACTCTCCCGGCGTACGTCCGGGGATTGCCCGGCAACTCCCATCGGATCATACGATCTTGCATGAGGGCGCCCATGTGGAGCACGGGGTCGGTCCGCACTATCTGCCGCACCTCCCGCTGGAAACCTCTGCGGACTGCTGCGTCGACCAGCCTCAGGAAGGGCCTCTGTGATACGTTGGGAAGACAGCGTTCGATTGCTGTTGGGACGCCACTGGCATTCTCGGCGCGCGCGAGGGCAAACGCCAGCTGGGCCGCCAAGGAGCGGCCGAACCAGTCGGACCAGAGAATCCCACGCATGATGTCGTCGCAATCGGCGCGCCATCGCCGCAGTTCGCCAGCTCGTGCCGTCGCGCGGAGGCCGCCCTGGCAAGGCGCCTCCAGGTGGGCCATCCTGCACTACGCAGCCGTCGCCATTGCTCGCAAGTCGGGAAATTCCTTCGAGAACCCCAGATGGCGAAGGCACTACAAATCCTGAGATGGCACCACTCGGCAGGCCCAGGGATGAGCCGCCAGACTGCTTGATCCTCAATTGCTTCCAAGTTGTCTGGGGGGCTGCCCAACTCAGCGACATGAACGAGCACTGGGAGAACGTAGACGGCGTACGCGATCAATGTGTACAGCAGGCCTGCACCGACCTCGCCCCATGCTTTGGCGCGTTCAGGGAACTTCCTCAGCGGTGCCGCGCGGTGGCCCCTGTCCGGCCCGAGGTAGAATCCCAAGTATTTTGCGTGGTAAGCAACCCGCATGTCGGCCCAACCAGGGCAGGCCTGCGCTATGCGAGCCTCCATGTCAACCGCGCTGCCTGGGAAGAGCGACACGAGGACGATTTTAGGGAGGTTCAGCTGGAGCCCCGAAACGACAGCGCATTCTGAAAAAATGACGGAAAATCTGGGAGCCGCTGAAGCCGTCAGGCAGGACCACCGCCAAGCCGTCGACGTACGCTTGCACGGGCACGAAGTGCACAAGTGGTGCCGAAATGGGCTGGCGGGCCGCATGCGGCACACACCCCTGAGGCCGTAGCTGAAGCTCTCCATGGGACCATGAAGCATCTGAGAGGTGTGCCGGGACCGGGGAACCGCATGTGGTACCCCCCGGCTGGGGAGTGAGTTGGAGCTCCCCATGGAACGCGAGCCGTGTCAGGGCTGTCGAGGTGGGCCGGCGGAACGCATGCGGTACACCCCCGTGGGGCCTGAATTGGAGCGCCTTTTTGGGGGCCACGGACGGTGTGAGCAATGTGCCGTTGTGGGTCTGGGGGCGCATGCGTGCCCCCTGCCTGGAGCCACGAAGGGCGCGAGGAAAGTCCCGCAATGGGCCTGGGGACGCATGCGTAGCCCCCGCCCGAGGCCTTAGTTGGAGCTCCCTATGGAGTCACGAAGCGTGTGAGGGGGGTGCCGACATGGGCTGGGGGGCCGCATGCGGTACACGCCCCTGGGGCCTCAGTTGGAACTTCTTGTGGGGCCACGAACCGTGCGAGAAGTGTGCCGAAATTGTCAGGGGAACAGCACGTGGTACCCCCCCCTGGGGCCTTAGTTGAAGCTCCCTATGGAGCACGAAATGTGAGAGGGGTGTACCGACATGGGCTGGGCGACCGCGTGCGCCCCCCCTCCCCCCCCTGGGGCCTCAGTTGGAGCTCCCTATAGGACCACGACGCGTTGGAAGGGTATGCCGACATGGGCTCGGGGACCGCATGCCGTACTGAGAGGGAAGCGGGAGTTTAGGCGACGCGGGGCGCTGCCTCTTCAAAACGAGGACCCGGCATCACACGATGGCTGGGAAACAAAAACGCACACACCTACACCTACACACAAACACACACACACACACACGCACACACACACACACGCACACACACACACACATTCATACATTCACACACACACACACACACTTGCTTGGCGTCGCGGCCCCGCGCGCGGCGACAGGGCGTAGAAACACACACACACACACAAACGTTTACCTCGGCGGCCACGCGCCTCGCATCGCGGCGGTCACTGCTGTGCGCGTGCACGCGGCAAGCGGAGAAGAAAAGAGCACCAGGAGAAGCGGCAGCCGTAGCGGCGAGAGCGACGACGGACATGGAGGAGGGGCAAGAAGGAAGGCAGGAACAGGGCAACTACTCACACTCACACACACACATAATAATAATTCTGTGCACCTTCACATGACTCCCCAGGACACCACACAAAGAACACAAACTACAACCTCGCAGCTCGGATCTGCTGGGAAACTATGTGGTGTGTTCGACCGCAAGGCAAGAGCCATGCCTCGATTCGGGACGTGCTCCAAAAAACAGCACAGACGAATGCGGCATGCTGTCCGCTCCCGAGGCGAATCTCGAGCCCCGGGCGCCTCCTCTCCGTCGACAACGAACGCGTCGTCCTGCTCGAACTCGTCGTCCTGCTCCGACTCGTCGTCCTCCTCGCCCTGCCGGAGGGGCGGGGGGGGCCTCTGGCCGCGGACGAGCCCCCGGGCGGGGCGCCTCTGGAGAGGACCCCGCTCCTCCAGGCCACCCGGCTTCGCGCCCTCGCGCCCCCGCGGTGCGCGACGCCGCGCGGGGATTCTCGCGCCCTCGCGCCGCCGCAACCGTGAGGGGCAGGTCTCCGGCCCAGACCGCGGCGCGCCACTGTCTTGGCGCCCCCGTGGGCGACGAAGAAGAAAGAACAAAAACAAAATGGCATGATGAGGACAACGTGTGGCGAGACCGAGGAGGAGGAGGAGGAGGAGGAGGAAAAGGGGGCGACCCCGTCCACAGGCACTGCACATCGCCACGGCTAAGCTGCGCCGCTGCGCGCGCCGGAAGAGCGCCTGCTGGCCGCTGAGCGGCCGAGCGGACGAGCTGGCGCACAGCGAGAGGAGGGAACTCCTGGGCGATCTTCGCCAGAACGGTTATAAGCTACTAAGCCAGATGAACGAGCCATTGGGCTGGATCAGGCCAGATTAAGCCTGAGATTAAACCAGGGCTAGCGGGATTCAACTGGATTGCGCGAGATGAAGCTGGATAGAGCGGGATTCAACCAGTGTTTTCGACCAAGGATACACCAGCGCCGATTATGAATGAAACCTCCCCGGAGTTGCATCCCAAACAGCATACTCGACATCGAGCAGTGAAGCACGGAGGCACGGAGGCACGGAAGGGTTCGGTTCGGTCTTCCTCGAAAGCGTAAGTCTCAACTCACAGCTGACAAGAGAGCGCCGCCCCCACGGGAAGCGACAGCCGCGACGAGCCCCACGGGGGCTGCGGTTTGGGCCACAAGAGGTCCTACAACATGTCTGCGACAAACCGCACAAAATGATGGCCACATGAATGAAGAGGAGGCCAGGGGGGAGGAAGACGAAAGGGGGAAATACGAATCATCGCAGGCAATCGCAGACACCCCTGGTGGGAAAAGAGCGGCACCTCGGACGCGAGACACACCCGGGGAGGTGTGGTGGGTTGGAGGAGGAGGCGGAAGCGCAAGATTGCAGAAGCTCGCAGAATCGGATGAGAGCAAGGGAAAGGACCAAAGCGAGCGCCATCCTCCACCTCCTCCTCCTCCTCCTCCTCCTCCTCCTCCTCCTCCTCCGACTCCCACTCTCCCGCCTCCCCCGCCTCCTCCTCCTTCTCCTCCTCCTTCTCGCTTTGCTCCTCCTCCTCCTCTTCGTCTCTCCTCCTGGTCCTCGCCTTCCTCCTGCAAGTCGTCGAGCCATGGAGAGGGATCAGCAAAATCTTCAAAGTACTTTACAATCATCTGCTGAATCACACCCTTGACAGGAACATGCCAAAGTGCTGGTGTCTTTCGGAAGGTCTCCGCGCAGTGAGGTGAGATGGCACGTACAAACGCAGTGGGAAAACCGAACACCGTGCCAGCAACTGGCGTAGAGCACAGCGTGGGCTGCCCCCTGATCATAAGCGGAGACAGAAAGAAATGTGAAGCCAACGACCCCGCTATCGGCAAGGCTGTGATTTATCCCATGGTAGTTGCGGGCCTGCATGTTTGTTCACATCGGCATGTTAGTAATTGTGCCCCGCCGCCCGTGCTGATAAGTCAAAAATCCGCGCCCTCCTCCTCCAACTCCTCCTCTTGCTCGCTTCCCCATTCCTGCGCCCCCTATAATCCTCCTTTCCTCCTCGCCAGATGCCCAGTCATATTCCTGTCCCTCCTTCTCTTCGTATTCCTGATCCTGCTCCAGATCCTCCTCATCCTCAGCCTGGTCATCATCGTTGTCATCCTGTTCCATTCCTCATGAACAGTATCCTCCTCCGCCTCCTCCTCCTCATACTCCTCACCATCACCCCCCGCATCATCCTTATCACCCTCGGTTGACTATTCTTTATAACCGTTATGGCCACCAATCCCATCCTCGACCCTGGCGTCGTCGTGAAAAACACAAGCAGCGTCGTCGTCGCCGCCGCCATCAGCATCAAGAACGTCAGCGCCATGATCACAAGCATCAGCATCAGCAAACCAGCATCATCATCAGCATCATCGTCATCATCGTCATCATCATCATCATCATCAGCGTCATCAGCATCATCATCGGCATCATCATCATCACCCCCATCGCCATCATTACCATCAGCATCATCATCATCTAGTCAGCATCGTCATCGTCATCGTCGTCACCACCGTCGTCGTCAGCAACAGCATCCCGCAGCATCATCCTCCATGTCAAGCTCTCCGTCACCATCCTTTCCCTCCTCTTCTCTTCGTACTCTGGATCATGCTCCTGACCCTCCTCATCCTCAACCTCGTCATCATCGTTGTCATCCTGCTCCATTTCTCATCAACAGTATCCTCCTCCCCCTCCTCCTCCTCCTCATACTCCTCACCATCACCCCCCGCATCATCCATAATACCCTCGGTTGGCTATTCTTTATAACCGTTATGGCCACCAATCCCATCCTCGACCCTGGCGTCGTCGTGAAAAATACAAGCAGCGTCGTCGTCGCCGCCGCCATCAGCATCAAGAACGTCAGCGCCATGATCACAAGCATCATCATCACCATCGCCATCATCACCATCAGCATCATCATCCTCATCTAATCAGCATCGTCATCATCATCATCATCATCATAGTCATCGTCATCGTCATCGTCACCACCGTCGTCGTCAGCAACAGCATCCCGCAGCATCATCCTCCTTGTCAAGTTCCCCGTCACCATCCTTTTCCCTCCTCTTCTCTTCGTACTCTGGAACATGCTCCTGACCCTCCTCATCCTCAGCCTGGTCACCATCGTTGTCATCCTGCTCCGTTCCTCATCAACAGTATCCTCCTCCCCCTCCTCCTCCTCCTCATACTCCTCACCATCACCCCCCGCATCCTTATCATCCTCGGTTGGCTATTCTTTATAACCGGTATGGCCACCAATCCCATCCTCGACCCTGGCGTCGCCGTGACAAACACAAGCAGCATCGTCGTCGCCGCCGCCATCAGCATCAAGAACGTCAGCGCCATGATCACAAGCATCAGCATCATCAACCCATCATCATCATCAGCATCACCACCATCAGCATCATCATCATCAGCATCATCGCCATCAGCGTCATCATCATCATCATCACCATCGCCATCATCACCATCAGCATCATCATCATCAGCATCATCATCATCTAATCAGCATCGTCATCTTCATCATCATCATCATCATCATCATCATCGTCATCATCATTATCATCATCATCGCCATCGTCATCGTCATCGTCACCACCGTCGTCATCAGCAACAGCATCCCTCATCATCATCCTCCTTGTCAAGTTCCCCGTCACCATCCTTTCCCTCCTCTTCTCCTCGTTCTCTGGATCATGCTCCTGATTCTCCTCATCCTCAGCCTGGTCATCATCGTTGTCATCCTGCTCCCGTCCTCATCAGCAGTATCCTCTTTCCCCTCCTCCTCCTCCTCGCCATAATCACCCTCATTACTCTGATCACCCTTTTCATCCTCGTTAGACTCTTATTTCTACTCGTTATGGCCACCAATCCCGTCCTCAATCCTGGCGTCATCTTAATCAGCACAAATATTATCGTCATCGTCGCCGCCATCAGTGTCAAGAGCATCAGTACCATCATGATAACCATGACGTATCATCGTCATCAGCATCATCAGCATCACCGTCATCATCAATATTATCAGCATCATTAGCATCAGCATCAGCATCATCTTCATCAACACCATCACATTCACCATCGTCGTCATCACCATCACAATCAAGACCATCATCAGCATCATCATCATAATCCCTTAGATGCATCATCATCACCATCTTCATCGCCATCGTCATCGTTATCGTCATCGTCATCGTCGTCACCATCATGATAGTCATCATCAGTTCAGTTCAGCCTAGCCTGCGTGCCAGCTCTGGCGGAGCGGTCCCCTGAGGGGCAGGCGGGGCATAAGAAAACAGCATGCGCGGAGCGGAAAGAGGCAAGGGAGGGCGCAGAAGCAATTTGAATACGTCTGGGCCGAGCAGGATCTGAAGCAGAATCAGAACCAAAATCAGAATCAGAAGGCGGGGTGTCACCGCAGAGAGCGTGCACTGAAATGCACACTACGCTAAGAGAAAGTGTCACTGAAACAACTCATTGCAGAAACAAGTCGCTACTGGAGCGGTCCACGTCCGACCGAAGGGGAGAGGAGGAAGGGAGTGGGGTAACCCACGGCGTGCGAGCCAGGCAGCATGTGCTCCAATGCATATCTAGCGCCGTCGTGCCACCTCTGTCGTGGACGACGGGCTGCAAGCCTCGTGTCCGTTCGCCCCGCATGCAGGCTGTAGCTGTTGAGTTGCGCTGTCCGGTCTTGGAGCCAACGCTCGCCTTGCCACTGCAACAGCTGCGCTGCCCATGAACGACTGTTGCGGGGTCGTTCAAGGTGCGCCCGCCAATCCAGGACACGGGAGCAATGGCGATGGCTCCACCAACGCCTCTGCTGGCACACATCCTTGGCCTCACGAGCCCTACGGCGGAAGTAATCCGGAGCCAGTTCGCAGCCCTTGGTCACCGTGAAAGTCGGCAGCCCCGAGGTGGGGCTCAGGCAGACACCGAAGTGTCGGAGAGATGGATGAGGAAAGGGCAAGGCGCGGGCGGGGGGAGCGGAGGGAGACAAGAAAGAAGGGAGCGACGGGAGCCGGTCATCATCATCATCAGCATCATCATCATCATCAGCATCAGCATCAGCATCATCATCGTCATCAGCATCAGCATCAGCATCAGCATCAGCATCATCATCATCATCATCATCATCATCATCATCATCATCATCATCATCATCATTTTCATCATTTTCATCATTTTCATCATCATCATCAGCATCATCATCATCAGCAGCAGCAGCATCATCAGCATCACCAGCATCATTATCACCACCATCATTATCATCAGCATCATCATAAAACATCATCGTCATCATCGTCATCATCATCGTCGTCATCAGCATCAGCATCATCAACATCATCACCGAATGAGGCATGTGGCTCCCATACCTCCTCATCGCGCGTCCCTCCTCAGCATCACCATCCTCGTCCTCACCATCATCAAGTTGATAATAGTATTGTCCACCGTCACCCTCACCATCAACAAAAGCATCGTCATCAACAATATCATCAAACTTATCGTCATCACCATTATCATAATGGTCATCACCGCCACCATCTCCGTCACCGCCATCATGAACATCATCATAGCCATCATAATCATCAGCATCACAGTCATCATCACAATCGCCATCATCATCAACAGCATCATCAGCATCACCATCACATCATCACCATCAGCATCATAAACCCAACATCCCCCCCTCATTACCCTGCCCCGTCATTCCATTTCCCTCCTCCAACTCCGCCTCAAACCATCCTCATCAGAATCCATTCTCCCCAATTTGCCTTCCTCCCCCACCCTCTGCCTGACCTCCACCCTCTCCTGCTCTGGTCGCTCCTCCTCATGTTCCTGACCTTGACCGATTGGTTCAGAATAGTCAAACTCGGGCCGAGCCTTGATTCAGCTCTCACTGCGCTACACGGGAACTGGGAAGCCGTACCTCGAGGCGCTGCCAGGCCCGATGCCCTCTTGAGTATCGCACTTTCGTGAAATCTCACTGGCTGCAACGGGAGCGAGCAAAACGTCCCGCTTTGAACATTCCAGGGGGGGGGGGCTCGACGCTACAGTTCGCAGGCTTCCCTTGCCAGCGGGAACGCATACGTGGGCCACTATGCACGCGAATTGCCCCCCCCCCCCCCCTCACACACAAGAGGGAGGCAGCAGGATTAGGACTGCCACGAGAGGAGAAGGGGGAGGAGGAGGAGGAGGAGGAGGAGGAGGAGGAGGGAGGAGAAGGAGGAGGAGGAGGAGGGAGGAGGCAGAGAGGGGAGGACGAGAGGGAGGAGAGGGGAGGCACCCTCGGACGCGCCAGGCGCCGCCCCGTGGGACCCCGACCTGTCTGCGGGACCCAGCCGCAACAAAAAAAAACAGGTACCATCGAGATCTCGGATTGGCGGCCCGCACCAGCGTACAGCGGGCACATAGTATGATAAGACACGTTGCCATAAGGAATCCAAGGGCACATTCTCCATCGAATCAGACTGTCGTAAGGTGCCGCAAGGCTCTGCGGACCCATCGGGAGACAAGAAGTTACCGTGGGGCACCAAGTGAGGGCCAGTTTCTCGCGTGCCGTGCCCACTATAAGGCCATCGTGCTGCCACCACAGAGAACATCGACGAAAGAACGGAAGGGTCATTTCTATGGCCACTGCGGCCCTCAACCACGAACAGGTTACCCGACTTAGATCGACCTAGGTCTGAGGAACAGAATGAGCATCAGAGCCCCTTCTGAGCCAACATTGATCATCCTTGTCGCGCCTTGCACCATTCGAAGCAAAAGCGGGCCTTGAGAGAAGCCTAAACAACAAGATGCGCACGAACGATGGCGATGCGTCAGGCCTTAAACTCGCGCTGGGGCAACGCCTGCGCTTTGAGAGACGTGGGAGCCGAAACGGAACACACGGGAGTCAGCACCGCGGGCCAGGGTCAAAAGCACATGTTCATCTCGAAACAAGGAGCGCCCCTGAAATGAGAATGCGTTCCTGCTGCCTGGTATACTTCACTTGAGCAACGACATCGAGATGTTCAACGGGATAAGGCTCCTAACTACAGAACGTGGTGTGGGCGACCTCGGCGCAGAACAACTAGCTGGCTTAAAAGATGCCAGCCTCATCTGCCCTGGCTCGTGGGAGAACATTGCATCCCGCTCGGCCTGAGCTCGCTCTCTAACAAATGACTCGCCATCTTCCCCGGCCTCACGAATGCCCCCGAGTTCCTGTTGAGGATGTATGATGTCGTCGTCGACCGCGATGCTATCGACCTTCAGTATCCAACACACTGCACTGCGTGACGATTGAGCAGCTGGCATGACCCCAGTCGATCATCGCTTCGAGCAGGTGGGTTCCACCCCCGCCGAAGATCGCGTCCGCCATGGGCACTACTGAGACAGAAACATGTATTTCGAACAGCCCGTACGCCACATGTGTTATAGCACGCTGTACGGAACGATGCGCGAGTATTTCGCCCATTGAGCAGCAACTGCCACGTGACGTTGACCATATTATGTTCATCGAGAGCGGCAGGCACGCTGGCATTACTGCCCTTGGTGATCAGCGAAATCACGTGCTTCCCGTTGTCGTCAGATAGGGCTGACTTTGCCTGACTTCGTGCGTGTCCGTATCCAGGTAGTTGAGTGTGCAATGAGCTATCGTGGCATCGCACCCTGTCCGAGGGGGCTCGTACCCTGCATCAGTATGTATACGTGCGTGTATAAACATATGTAAATACAAATATGTGTATACACGCCCGCATGTGCCCAAGTTACCACAGGGAATTCCTTAGAAAGAGCAGACACCTAGATCTCGGATGGTCACTCCTTGGCCTGGCCATTGACTGCCAAACTTAGGTTCAATTCGGAATTATTGTGACCAGGCGCGGCCTGGAATCAATGCAACTATGGACTAGGGTAACGGGTAGGAAGAGCCAAAATGGCGCGGAGGGGGAAGATGGGAAGAAGGATAGGAAGCAGCAGGAACATAAGCAGCAACACGAACAGGAGGGGCAGCAGCAGCAGCAGAACAAACAGGAGCAGCAGGGGCACAAAGAGGTGGATTGAGGAGGAGGAAGAGGAAATGGAGAAGCAGCAGCAGAGAGAGGAAAATAAGCAGAATGCGGAACATACTGAAGGGGAGGGGGGGGAGGAGGAGAAGAAGCAGGAGTACGAAGAGGGGTAGGAGGAGTTGCACCAAAGAGGGGCGGGTAGAGAAGGAGAAGCAAGAGGACGGGAAGAAGGGAGAGTAGCAGGAGCAACAGGACGAACAGGACGACAACGAAGACGGCGACCGAAGTCGTCATCCGTCTCCGGAGGTCCCCCGAGGTCCCCAGAGGCGTCTGCAAGGCCCTGGAAGCGTTTGGACGCTTCGTCGGCAAAAGAAACAAACTCCAGAAACCTCGATCCTCCTCATCCTCCTCGGGCCTCAACGAACCGCCCCTCGGCCTGAGACGAACACCACGACGACGACGACGACAACGACGGAGACCACAACGACGACAACCACCACCACAACGACGAAGACGACGACCACTACCACGACGACGACGACGACGACGAAGACGACGACGAAGACCGCCACGACGACGACGACGACGACGGCGACGACGACGACGACAGAGACCGCCACGACGACGACGACGATGACGACGACCACGACCACGACCACGGCGACGACCACGACGATGGCTGCGGCAATGACGCCGCACGTCGCGCCGCTCCTGGCGCCTGCGCACCTCCCGCGACCCGACATCCGCCACCAGGGCGGAGACACGGACGAACTCCTCCGCGGGCCGGGCGCGGCCGCCGCCGGGGACCGAGATGCGGGTCCTCCCTTTCCCCTGTCCAACCTTCCCTCTTCCATGCTTCGTCCCTCCTCCTTCGTCCCTCCTCCTCCTCCTCTTCCGCCTCCTCTCTTTCCTCGTCCCCCTCCTCCTCCTCACCCTCCTCCTCCTCCTCCTCCTCCTCCTCCTCCTCCTCCCTCCTCCTCCTCCTCCTCCCTTCCCTCCTCCTCCTCCATCGCGGTCCCGAACCTCTGCGAGTTGGTGCCAGCCGCTGCCTCTTCCTAATGAAGACACCCACAAGCGAGGACACGGGTATGCGTGGGCACAGACCAGTCCATGCAAGCGCACCAAGGAGTATGGGGTTGAATTGTGTCCCCCCCCCTTGCAAGTTTAGCTCAGGAGCGGCAGGAGCAGGCGCGGGATAGGTAGGGTGGGTTGGTATGTGCGCGAGAGGCAGAGAGACACCCTGCGCGCGGCCGCTCACGCCAACCTGGTATCCCAGGAGCCTCGTCGGCAGACGCTGACCGTAAGGTTGTGGGTTGGGCCGGGTCGGCCAACCCTCAGCCTTTCTTCTTTCAGGATGCGTGCTGGTCCTCTTCCTCATCCTCATCCTCCTCGTCATACCTCATCCTCCTTCTCCTCCTTCTCCGCCTCCTCCTCCTCATCTTTCTCCTCCTCCTCCTTCTCCTCCTCTTCTTATTATTTCTATTATTAATGGTATTATTAGCATTATTCTTGTTATTATTATTGTTCGTATTCGTCTCATTATGATTATTCGTATTCTGCGTATGATTATCAGAGTGAGGGGGCCGAACGGTCATTCACTGTCCCTGGGTGCGTGGCTGAAGTGGGATTCCGCGGTGCGGATTAGTGTTGTTGTTGTTTGTTGTTGTTGTTTGTCGTCGTCCCACCCGCGACCCAACCGCGACCCACTGGCGACCCACCCCGCGACCCACCCGCGACCCACCCGCGACCCACCCGCGACCCACCCGCGACCCACCCCGCGACCCACCCCGCGACCCATCCCGCGACCCACCCCGCGACCCACCCGCGACCCACCCGCGACTCACCCGCGACCCACCCCACGACCCACCCCGCGACTCACCCGCGACCATCCCGCGACCCACCCGCGACCCACCCGCGACCACCCGCGACCCACCCGCGACCCCCCGCGACTCACCCGCGACCCACCCGCGACCCACCCGCGACCCACCCGCGACTCACCCGCGACCCACCCCGCGACCCACCCGCGACCCACCCGCGACCCAAACCACGTTCAAGGTACAAACCAACATTTTCGGCGCCTACGGCGGGTTTTTTTTGCATTCCTTCCAGGTGGAGAGCCCGCGACCCACCCGCGACCAACTCGCGACCAACCCGCGACCCAAACCACGTTCAGGGTACAAACCACATTTTTCGGCGCCTGCGGCGGGCATCTTTTGCATTCGTTCTAGGTGGAGAGACCGCAGCCCACCCGCGACCACGTTCAAAGTACAAACCAATTTCTTCGGCGCCTGCGGCGGGCATCTTTTGCATTCGTTCCTGGTGGAGAACCCGCGGCCCACCAGCGACCCAAACCACGTTCAGTGTACAAACCAAATTTTTCGGCGCCTGCGGCGGGCTGCTTTTACAGGAGGACGAGGAGGAGGAGGAGGAGGAAGATGAGGAGGAGGAGGAGGAGGAGGGGGAGGAAGGGGACGACGACGACGACGACGTCGACGACGACGACAAAAAGGAGGAGGGGGGAGGATCGGGAGGGGGGGAAGAGGAGGAGGACGACGAGGAGGAACATGACGACAATGGGAGGACGATGATGGAAGGACGAGGGGGGGAGAGGGAGGACGAGGAAGAAGAGGAGGAGGAGGACGAGGTGGAGGAGGAGGACGACGATGACGATGAGGACGAGGACGAGGACGAGGAAGAGGAGGAGGAGGAGGAGGAGGAGGAGGAGGAGGAGGAGGAGGAGGAGGAGGGGGAGAAGGACAGCGCCATCGACAGGGAAGGTGGGGGCCACGAGGTCCGCCGGCTTGACGACGCCCGCGCCGCCCGCGCCCGCCCCCTCACTCTTATCTGCAATTGCGGGGTGCTATTGTTATTTCTTATTCTGCTTATTAGTATGCCTATTAGTATCAGTAGTAGTAGTAGTAGTAGTAGTAGTAGTAGTGGTAGTGGTAGTAGTAGTAGTAGTAGTAGTAGTAGTAGTAGTAGTAGTAGTACTACTACCTACTCGTCTTCTTCTTCTTCTTCCTCCTCCTCCTCCTCCTCCCTCCTCCTCCTCCTCCCTCCTCCTCCTCCTCTCCTCCTCCTCCTCCTCCTCTCCTCCTCCTCCTCCTCCTCCTCCTCCTCCTCCTCCTCCTCCTCCTCCTCCTCCTCCTCCTCCTCCTCCTCCTCCTCCTCCTCCTCCTCCTCCTCCTCCTCCTCCTCCTCCTCCTCCTCCTCCTCCTCCTCCTCCTCCCTCCTCCTCGCTCCTCCTCCTCTCCTCCTCCTCCTCCTCCTCCTCTCCTCCTCCTCCTCCTCCTCCTCCTCCTCCTCCTCCTCCTCCTCCTCCTCCTCCTCCTCCTCCTCCTCCTCCTCCTCCTCCTCCTCCTCTCGTTCCTCCTCCGAACAGTTCGAGGAGGGGGGAGGCTCAAGCAGCCCAAGGACCGAGGATGCAGATGTTTCGGCGCCGCCTGTCAGGAAGCAGAGCCATAGCAGGTTACAGGAGGCCACGCAACCAGCGAACACAGTGCGGGAAACCGAGCCAGCTCCGTAGAATCGGAGCGAGATTCAGTAAGTGCACGCACTGCGTGGAGAGCATGTATCAGCAAGCTAAGCTGGTGACGGGTGCCAACGTCTCAAGATGGGGCTATGGCTGGCAAATGTCTTGGACTGACCCTACACCTTTACACTTCTGACGGTCACGGGGATGAAGGGCTACTGCTGGCCAAAACGGGGCCATCGCCTGTATTGCAAGCCCAGTGTGAGCTCGTACTTCAAGGTGTTATGAGGAGGGGACTTGGGACGGGAGGGCGTATTGCTGCATCGATTTCGGATGGCTCTGGTGTTCGTCCTCCTCCTCCTCCTCAGCTTCCTCCTCCTCCTGCTCCTCCTCCTCCTTATCATCATCACCCTCTGATCGCCACTAGTTGAAATTGCCGGCATCACAACCACCATCACCATCACACTCACGATCATCACCATCATTACCACTGCCTCCACAACCACCCCCATCGCCATCATCATCATCATCATCATCATCAGCAGCAGCATCATCATCATCATCCTCATCATCTTCATCATCATCACCCTCATTACCATCATCATCGTCACCAGCATCACCACGATCAGCATCCCAATACACAGTATCATAATCATCATAATCATCATCAGCGTCATCATCCTCTTCGTCATCATCACCATCATCGCCATCATCGTCGATATCATCAGCAACAGCACCCTCAACACCAATTACGACAACATCGTCGCCACCGCCAATACATTCATAACCCGTACCCTTTATAAGCCATCGGACCAGCATCACCATCATCATCAGCATCAGCATCATCATCAGCAGCATCATCCGTATCAGCATCAGCAGCATCATCATGCTCGTCTGAATCATGGTGGACAGGTGAATCAGTATCATCAGCATCGCCATGCCATCACCATCATCAGCATCTGCTTCGTTATCAGCACCACCATCACCCGCGTTGCCAGCATCGGCATAAGCATCATCAGCATCACCAGCATCATCATCAGCAACACCATCATCATCAGCACCAGCAGCAGCATCAGCATCATCAGCATCATGATCGGCATCAACATCATCATCCGCAGCAACATCAGCATCGTCATCACCACCATCATCATCCTCCTCGACGTCAGCACCATCATCACCATCATCACCATCATCATCATCAGCATCATCATCATCATCATCATTCTCAGCATCACCATCAGCAGTATCATCATCAGCACCAGCATCATCCGCATCACCATCATCATCATCATCATCATCAGCAGCATCAGCATCAGCATCGTCGTCATCATCATCATCAGCAGCAGCATCAGCACCACCATCATCAGCAATGTTAGCAGCAGCACCCTCATCATCAATCACAACAACATCAGCATCCTCGGCATCGTCATCAGTATCAGCATCATCAACGTCATCAGCATCATCATCAGCATCAGCATCATCGTCGGCATCATCATCAACCTCATCATCATAAGCATCACCACCACCAACATGATCAGCAGCATCATCATCAACCGCATCCGTTCAGCCACCATCATCATCATCATCAGCAGCAGCATCCGCATCACCATCACATCATCATAGGCAGCAGCATCAGCATCAGTATCATCATCAGCATCATCATCAGCAGCATCGTGAACATCGCCATCAGCAGCATCCCGCACCGTCGTCCCACTTCAATCTGCCCCTCGACCACCTCACTCCTGTATCCTCCTCCTCCTGCTTCTCCCCCTCCCCCCGTGGGCCGCACAACAACGAAACGTCGAAGACGCAATCATCGAGCTGCGTCCCTCAACTCTTTCTCATCACATTGCTCCTCCGCCTCATCCTCGTCCTCCTGCTGCTTCGAATCGTGTTTCTCTTCCTGATTATCGTTGCCCTCCCTTCCGCCGTTCCCGCTCCCCCTCCTTCTGGTGCTTCGCGCTCTTCGTTTTGGGTGCCAGGTTGGTCAGCTCGAGCATACCCGTGCGCAGCAGATTCACCTGCTCCGCCCACCCACCACGAGACAAGCTTCGCGAGAGGAAAAGAATGATGAGAGGAGAAGGAAGAGGAGGAGAAGGAGGAGGAGGAGGAGGAGGGGCAGGAGCAGGAGCAGGAGCAGGAGCAAGAGCAGGAGCAAGAGCAGGAACAAGAGCAGGAGAGAGGGAGGGAGGGCGGGTGGGAGGGAGGAAGAGGACGAGGAGAAGGAGGATGAGGAGAAGGAGGAAGAGGAGGAGGAGGAGGAGGATCGATGGCCGAGAGAGGAGGAGGAGGAGGAGGAGGAAGAGAAGGAGGAGGAGGAGGAGGAGAAGGAGGAGGAGGACCAGTGGAAACCCAAGAGTCATCAACGATGTTGGAATTAACCCTCCCTCCAAGCTCCCTCTTCATAGGCCCCTGGCCCTATAACGGTTCTTTGCCATTGAGGGAACTGCCTCGCTGGAAGACAACAGTTTGAAGCTGCTGAAGCGTGCCAGAACATTGTTCTCGGAATTGCAACGCCACGTATCAACCTGACTGTTGCGTCTTGACGATCCAGAATCGTGCCAGAACCCCGTTTTGGGGACGTCCACACAGCGAATCAGCATAACTGTTGCGCCCCGCGCGCGTAGTCCTGAACCCTTCCAAAACACCATTTCTGGTACGTTGATCATGGGAATCCGTGAAGCTCTTGCAAATTATTAAAACGAATGCGCGCGGCGCTAAGGCAAGAACCACATTTTGAAAAGGAGCCGCCCCCAATCCGTGAAACGCTCGCAAGTTGTTAAAACGAATACGCGCGGCGCTAAGGCGAGAGCCCCATTTTGAAGACCACTCGCCCTTGATGCGTGGAACTCTTGCCATCTGTTTTAAACGAAGGTGCGCGGCGAGAAGGCGAGAGCAACATTTTGAAAACGGCCCGCCCTCAATCCGCGAAGCTCTTGCAATTCGTTTTAAACGAAGGTGCGCGGCGCTACGGCGAGAGCCACAATTTGAAAACGGCCCGCCCTCAATCCGTGAAACTCGTGTAATCTTTCAAAAAGAATGTGCGCGGCGGGCGCCAAGGCGAGAGCCACATGTTCGAAACGACCCGCCCTCCATCTGTGAAACTGTTGTCACTGTTTAAGCGTCAGAGTCATAAATTGTAAGAAAGTCTCACGCGAAACTCCCAGCCCACCCTAAAAACTGGCTTCGGGGTGCGACAGGGAGGAGTTATCTATAAGGAGAAGGAATGGAGGAGAAGGAGGAGGAGGAGGAGGAGAGCGTCAAGGGAGGGGGCAGGGGATGAGGAAAAGAAAAGGTGAGGGCAGCACGAGGAGGAGAGAAAATAGAACTGGAGGAGTAGGAGGGAGTAGGATGAGGAAGAAAAGGGGGAGACAAGGAGGACGAGGAGAAGGGGCGACAGCAACAACGAGACGACGACGACGACGATGACGAAGGCAACGACGACGACGACAACGAAGAGTGGCAGGCGCCCTGCTCGGTGCTCGATCGCTAGGAACCCAGACCTAGCGGGTACCAAATAGGAAAAGGAAGGCGGAGAGGGGAAGAGCAGGAGCAGAAGCGGGAGTGCAATGAGGAGGAGAAGGGTGGGAGCGCCTTGCTTGATTGATGAATCGCGACACCGCCCGTTACCAAGGCACCCCCCCCTGGAAACGTCACGACTCGTGTCAGCACCGTCCGGGAATGACTAGGGTAGTTGATCCCCAAACGGCGCTGGCACGAATCGTGACGTTACCGGGCCACTCCCCTTACCTCCCTACCCCCTGGTAGACGGCCGTCATCGCGGGAGGATAGAAAAACGGGCTCGAGAAAGGATCAGGGGAAGCGGCAGGGGTCAGAGTCGGTGGCAGAGCCAGAATGAGCACGAGCAAAGGAGGCCGCTCCAGCGCCAGAGGGCCCCACCCACTCTCGCATCCCTCCCCGAAAGCGTGGGAAACAAGCAGACCACCAGGCCCGCTCTGGAAGCCCCGGCAGCCAGAAAAGTTGCAACGCCTGGAGGGGGGCGGCTGTGACTTCCGCCGGCTCCCGCGGGCCTTCCCCCAGGATCAGCTCATAGTCCTGGGTCGCTTTATGCAAGTCCCACGGCCCGTGGAGGGCCCCCCTAGGAGCCAAGAACGGTACAGGCGGACTTGATTGGACAGGACTCTGGAGAGGACACAAGACCCTTCCGACGGCAGCGTGGCCCCAGAACACCAAGGGACCTGCGGGTTGCCTACGGCAGGTTCGTGTCGTGCCGACCCCAGCGTTGGTTTTTGACACCGCAGGGATCGTTCAACCTTGAACGATCGGCCGCTGCCGCAACGTCCGATCGTTCAACATCGATCGATTCTGGGTCGCCGGCGGCGTTCAACCTTGAACGCCCGCGCTGGGGTCGCCGCTGGTCGACACGACGCAAACCTACCGTAGGTCGGGATAGACAGGACACATGAGCACCATCGACCTGACGTGGTCGATCTGCCAATCGGGGGCGACTGCGAACCCGGGTCCAGTCTCCCTCCGGACCCGCTCCCTTCAAGAAGGGCATGTTCCCCACCACCACCACCACCATAAGATGGAGGGGGAGGGGGTCCTCCTCCTTCTCCTCCTCCTCCTCCTCCTCCTTCTCCTCCTCCTCCTCCTTCTCTTCCTCCGCCTCCTTCGCCCCTCCAACTTATGGTGGTGGTGGTGGTGGAAAACAGGCCCATTACTTCATGGAGATCGGAAGCGGGATCCGTGGTTTCGGGCTCCGAAGACGGCGCCTCTTGAGGCACCATGTGCTTTCTGGCCGTGGACGGACCCGCCAGGGCGCATTCGTAGCAGTCCCTCAGGGCCCGCTTCCTTGATGGCGACCCGCGGGCCTTCCCCCAGAACCAGTTCATAATCCTGACTCGTTTCATGACACTCCCGGGGCCCGTGGCGGGCCCCTGAAGCCCAGCACGGTAAAAACCTCGGGCCCGTTTCCCTGAGGCCCCGTTCCCCCCATGGCGACAGTCGTCATTAGCAGTCCCTCAGGGCGCCTTCCCTTCATGGAGACCCGGCTCTGCTTCCGCCGGCTCCCGCCAGCCTCCCGCCAGCCTCCCGCCAGCTTCCGCCGAGGGCGAGAAGCACCGAGCTTCTGGGGCGCAATGCTCGGACGCACGGGTCCCGACGCGGAGCGGCCACGACGAGCGGCGCGCCCTTCTGGTCAGGGGGGGGGTCAGAGGACCGCCCCACCCAGAATCCTCTGCCGACCCTCGGCGGCGAGCCCGCCGCCCCTGCTCAGAAGGCGGCGGGACCTCTCGGAAGCCCTCGCGCCTTCCGAGAATTGTCCTGCTTCTGGAAGTTTTCTGTGCCTTCGGGGAAGGCTCGGGAAATTTCTCAGAGGGCCGGGGGACTTCCGAGCCTTCTGAGAAGGTCCGCCACTTCTCACTTCCCCCCTGGGTTCGCCGTCGACACCCATCAAAAGAAAGAAAAACGAATCATCACAATCGCCGCCCAAATGACTCCACAGCGTGAGGCAGCAGACCGCCAGGCAGGCCCGGGACGTCACGCGCGATGGCGCCGAGAGAGCAACGCCAAAAGAAGACAGAGAAGAGGCAGGGAAGGCAGCAGAAGGAAGGCAGGGGGCAAGGGAGAGGACCGAAGAGCTCCTCCACCCTTCGGAAGAAGTGGATGAGAGCATGAAGGAGGAAGGCGTTGAAAGCCGATTGGGCTTCCGCAGCTGGAAGGAAGAGGGAAACTTCTTGGCTCTTGAAGTAGGAACGCCCAACGCAGACGGGGGACGGGAAATCCAAGAAGACCTACCTTGAACGAGCAATGGGTATCCGATTGTCATGCCATCGACAGTGCGAGGAAAGCCTGGCGTTGACCGCGTGATTGGAACGAACACCTGGACGGCCTCCCTGCTGCACTTCCCTGTTTCTCCTCATCAACGTCATCCGCGTCAGCCCGATACACCATCACCACGATACTCACAACACTTGCCAGCACCAAAACAAGCTCCACCGTCAACGATCATCAGTATCATCGGAATCCACCCCATTCGAGCTGTTCATCTTGCTGCCACTGCCGCTACACAGTGTTATCCCGCCTCCCGCCCCCGAAGCCTTCACTAAGCACTACGTGTTCCCCACGACTATTCTCCTCTCCACCGATCTGTCCTCCCTTGCTGCTCCTGATCACCCCCTCGTTCCACTCCAAGGCCTGCACTGATCTTCGCTCTCCCTACGCGCGCGAACAGGTTGCCTCGAAGGAGTACTGAGGGCCCTTCGTCAGGAACCCGCCAGCCTCCCTTGCTCATTCCAGGAGTGAGCTTGCACATCGCACCCCTCTGAACCTTCTGTTTCTACCACAATCGATCCTCCCTCACCTGCTCCGCTTCTTCCCTTTACTCATACCGCAAGAGAACAATAGGACGGGGAGCGACGATAGCTTCAGCTTCGGTAGCACACAAGTTGGAAGACCAGGAGAAGAAGCGCCAGGCCTTCCCCCATTCTCCTCTTCGTCCTCCTCCTCCTCCTCCTCTGCTTCCTCCTTCTCCATTCTGCCGCGTTCTTGCGTTGTCGTACTCATCCTCCTCCCCCTCCTGCTCTTCCTCCTCCTCCTCCTCCTCGTCGTCCTCGCCCTGCGCCTTCCGACTCCTCCCCCGCCTAACCTCATCCTCCTCCTACAAGCTTCTTCTCTCCGCACACGTCCTGCTGAAACACCTCTTGCGCGTCCTCTTCTTCATCCTCATCCACGCCCTATGCCACTACTCCCTCGTCCCGCTTCAGATGCCACCACATGTGTCGCTCACAGTTGGTGGCCCCGACTGGTTAGGCGGCACCAAATCTGAATGTACGTACGCATGTATGCATGTGTGTAAGTGCGGGTTCTGTGTTGTGTGTTGTGGTGTGTGGTGTGCGGTGTGAGTTGTATGGTGTGGGCTACGTGTTGTGTGTGGTGTGTGTTGTGTTGTGTGATGCGCTGTGTGGTATTTGCTGTATATTGTGTGTTGGGTGGTCTGCGTTGTGTATTGGGTGTTGGGCGTTGCGTGGTGTCATCTGTTGGTTGTGCGGTGTGTGTTGTGGGTTGTGTGCTGTAGGTTGTGTGTTGTGTGCTGCATGGTGTGTGTGGTGGGTTATGTGCTGTAGGCTGTGTGGTGTGTGTTGTGAGTTGTGTCTCATGTGCTGTGTGTTGTGTGTTGTGTGTTGTGTGCTGCGTGCTGTTTGGTGTGTGCAGTGTGTTGTGCGGTCTGGTGTGTGTTGTGGCGTATGTCGTATGTGATGTGTGTTGTGCAGGTTGTGGTGCGCGGTGTGTGTCGTGTGCTGTGTGGTGTGTTGTGTGCTGTGTGTGGTGTGCTGTGTGTTGTGTGTTGCGTGGTTTGTGTGTGAGTGGTGTGCTGTGTGCGGTGTGTGTGGTGTGTGTGCTGTGTGTGGTGTGTGTGTGCTGTGTGGTGAGTGTTCTGTGTGTTGTGTGTGTGTTGTGTGGCGTGTGGTGCGTGTGGTCTGTGATGTGGGTTGTGTTGTGTATGTTGTTCGTGGTGTGTGGCGTGTGTGGTGTGTGGTGTGTGTGGTGTGTGGTGTGTGGCGTATTGTGTGTGTGTGCTGTGTGGTGTGTGCTGTGTGTTGCGTGTTGTGTTGTGTGGTGTGTGTGTGCTGTGTGGTGCGTGTGTGTGTGTGCGTGCTGCGTGTACTATGTGTTGCGTGTGTGTGGTGCGGTGCGTGCGTGTGCTGTGTTGTGTGGTGTGTGCGGTGTGCGTGTGGCATGTGTTGTGTGTTGTGGTGTGTATGCTGTGTGCATTGTGTGTTGTCTGCGTTGTGTGTCACGTGCTGTGTGTTTTGTTATGTGCGTCGTGTGTGTTGTGTGTGTTGTGTGTTGTGTGTGGTGTGTGTTGTGCGTTGTGTGTGTGGTGTGCGTGCTGTGTGTGCTGTGTGTGCTGTGTGGTGTGTGTGCTTGTGTTGTGTGTTCTGTATTGTGTGTGCTGTGCTGTGTGTTGTGTGTTGTGAGTGCTGTGTGTTGTGCGTGTTATGTGTGTTATGTGTTTGCGCGTTGTGCGTGTGTGTGTGTTGTGTGTGTTGTGTGTTGTGTGTTGTGTGTGTTGTTTGTTGTGTGGTGTGTGTGGTGTGTGGTGTATGTGGTGTGTGGCGTGTGTTGCGTCTTTTGCGTGTTGTGTGTGTGTGCTGTGTGTGTTCGTGTGTGTTGTATGTTTTGTGGTGTGTAGTGTGTGTGTGTGCGTTGTGATGTATGGTGTGTGTTGTATGTGGTGGATGTGTGGTGTGTGTGGTGTGTTGTGGGTGTTGTGTGTTGTGTGTGCTTTATGGTGTGTTGTTGTGTTGTGTGTTGTGTGTTGTGTGTGTTGTGTGACGTGTGATGCGTGATGTGTGATTTGGGATGTGTGTTTGGGTGGGTGCGCGTGCGCGTGCGCGTGCGCGTGCGCGTGCGCGGGTGTGGGTGTGGGTGTGCGGGTGTGCGGGTGTATCACGGAATCAGCGCGCTAGGTTTGCGGGGACTGCCAACCAAGATGCGAAAGAGGATAAGCAGGATGAGATGCCACGAAATTGAGCCCGCGAATTCGAACAATTGCCGCCCTGGCCGCGCTACCTGACAGACTCAGGCGGCAAGTGATTGCTACCTGCAAGCACAAAACGGGGAGAGGAAGGGGAGGCGAAAAAGGGCAGAATGACGGGAGAGAGGGGATGCGGAAAAGAAGGGGAAAGGAAGGGGAGAGGAAAGGGAGAGGAAAGGGAGAGGAGAGGAGGGAGAGGGGAGAGGAAGGGGAGGCGGAAAGGGAGGAGCGAACGGAAGAACGACACAGAGCGTCACGGGCAGGCTGGGAAGCCCCACGGGCGAGGGAGGCCCGGGGGGTGTGACCTGGACAGGAGGGCAAGGGAGGCCCCTGGGGAAGTCTGCTGGCGCGTGCCTATCGGGCAAGGGGCGGCGAGCAAGAAGACACCCGACGGGCGTCACAGTGCGGCGCCCAGGAAATGCGAGTGGAGCGCTGGGCGCTGGGCCACACCGTCG